TACGTAGAGCTGCCGCTAACGCACGTAGCATGTACGTAACACGAGAGGCACAAAGAAGTATCTATTTCACGGCAAGAACGTAACGGCTGTTACGTTGCACTAACACACCGCGGTTGCCTTTTTGGCACGTATCTAAGTTGAATAAAAAGCGCGTAGGTGTCTTTCTTGTTACGTATAATAATTTAATGAAATTTCTTGCAAATAATAACTATAGTTATTTAAAAATTAAAAACTATTATAATGTTTTAAAATAAACACTTACGAAAATTAAAACAGATAATAATTTGAGTTATAGGTGTGTATGGTTGCATATATGTATATTGAACATCTAAGAATTACGAGATCATTTAACAAGTTAGATTCTTCATGCTTTTGTTGTGTTTGTGTATAAATGTTAATTTCGTTTGGTAAATTTATAGAACAAAAGTTTGTATGAATCGTGTGATGTCTTTGTATCTACTTTTGAATTTAGTGTTTGTGGAATCACCCTTAATCTCGTTCAAAGATTATAATTATACTAGTTCATGTTCTCTGTCTCATTTTCTAAATTTTTTGTTACGTTTGATCTTTGCAATTGATTTTGTACTGAGTGGTGTATCCACTTGTGTTGTAGTTAAAGTTTTGTTTATATAAAAAAAAATTAAATAATGCATTGTGTTTCAATTAAGTGACTTATTTAAAGGTACTAGAATTTTTTATAATAATTCAAAAACCTTTGTTATATAAAAATTCTAGTAAGAACTCCGGTAGAGTAATCATTCTTTCTTCAAATGATTTTCCAGTCTAAGGAAATCGTCCTAATGGGAGGTCCCAGGGGGTAAAGCATGAGCATGGGTAGATCTAAAGTTAGTGGGGGTCAGACATGCATTTGAACACTATTGGGGCACCCTAAATGAGCCAAAACAGGATTTTTCAAAATTTGATATGAGAATTCATTTAAGAGATATGGTTTCTTCGAAAAAGTATCTTATTTTGATCCCTAATATTCAAAAATCATATGTTCCCAGGCAACGTTTTTTTACCCATACAAATCAACCTGTCCTAATATATGTAAATATTTATTTTAAATTACCTTGAGTATATCTCCTTCTGTGTTTACCAAATAAAGTGTGGCATCATATGAGAACACTGGATTCAGTTTAGGATATTTATTTGTGTAGGGGGGCCCTGACTCGACTAGCTGAACAGGCTGCAAAGTAAAAAAAAGTCATAACGGTTTTCAAAAATTAAATATGAACATAAAATAAGTAAAATTAAAACAAAACAATCCAAATTTTAAGAAATTCATTGATATGCATTTCAATTTCTTTCAGCATCTTTACAAATTTACAAATTTAGGGACCGATTCTGCCGCATAGCAGAAAAATGAGAAATTTCATAAAATGGGAAGGCCATTTTATGAAAAACTTTCCATACTAGATATTGACAAAAGTCATGTGGCTGCTGTGCAGTCAGGTGCTTTCCTCAGGTTGTCAGATAAAAAACCTAACCCAGAAACCGCATAAATATCAAAAAAACGATCTTAGACAAAGGGTCTTTCTGACCCAGCTTCATAACATCTGAGTGAAGTTCCAGTTTAGGTGTAAAATGCCTGAATGCACAGCAAACACATGACATTTTGACAGTATTCAGTATGATTCAGTAGCATAATGTATGGAAGTTGGAGCGTAACATGGCCTTGCCAAAACATTTTTCTGTTATGCGGCAGAATCGGCCCCTTAGTCTCAAACGATTAAGAAATAAATTAGTTGGATAATGTTGGATTTTATTACAATTTTTTTATTGCTAACCTGTCTCTGTATGTAACCCTTTCCTGCACCAATACTGACTTCCCAAACAATCAGTTGACTAGACTGCTCTGCAAGTTGAACAACATGAATCGGTTGAGCCGGAGAGCATCTATAATAAATAAATATTGTTTATTAAGTATTAGGATAATAATTAATATATGGTTGAAAGATAAAGATATCTAATTGCATATTACTAGATAGATTCTTCTGGATTTTGGTGTGTTTGTATGGTAATGTTAATCTTATTTGGTAAATTTATGGATAAAAGGTTGTATGAATATTAGTCTTTTGCAGTATTGTGTGAAGTCTTTGTGCGTTAGTAATATCTAGTATTGAAATAACTAGATATGATAGAATTAATTACCAATTTGTCAAACTACTTTGTTACACTTGTGCAAAATTGAATAATCTGTAATAGTTTCTCTAGCATTTACTACAAAAATACCACTTACACCCAGCTTCTTCATATATTCAATATTATACATGTAATTATCTCCCAAATCTAAATTTAGATCATTTATTTTCTGATGTCTTCAGACTTTTTAATCAATCTAATTATAATTTCACTCACTTTAAAATTTGCTTAGGCCCATCCATTCCCGATGGGATGCTCAACAGTTGCTCGTTGGTTCTCCAGCACCACAATTGAATTTCATAATTGGGAAGACCGGTCAAGCTCACCAGATAATCAGACTCGGTGAAGACCAGGGATAAATACTTATCCGTCGTACCGGTACCTGGAAGGATAAAAATATTAAATTGCAAATAACTACTGTTCGATTTTTACTGAGTTTTTTTTATGACATGATGCTGGTCACTTTGAGGCAACTTTAGAACCATGAAGGTAGTGCTTGAATTTATTACAGCTATTAGTTGCGTGTTATTTTAAATAGAGTGCAGAAACGAACAGTTCCAGAAATATTCAATTTTAATTTTGTAAATACAAAGAAGCTCTGGTACAGCTCACAACAAAAAATTGAAGTTTATGGTGAAGATTGCTTACAAAGCACATATGTAAGATTTGGTATAAATATTGGGTTCTGGAGTTTATTCTCTTGAAACTAACAACGTTCTGGTCGATCTACTGAAACTGATGAAAACCAAATCAAAGCCATAATTAATATGATCGTTGAAACAAGGCTACAAGGCATTACAATAAACATTGTATTTAATGTTCGAATGCTTTTTTCAGCTCTTTTTTTCAGAAGCGAAATTCGTGCAGCTACTATTATTATTATAAAATTACTATCCTTTTAATATTAATTACGTTGATTAAATAATAATTTAATATTAATTATGAATAAGCTTGACAAGAGTCTGAAATAATATCTATTATTATTGATTACATCTTGCTTATGAATAATAATAATAATAAAATAATAATATCTCACACACAACAATCATATGCCCTGTGCTAAGAAATTTGATATTTGGGTACTTCAAAAAATACAAAGTATCAACTTTTGCCATACCCACTATGAACAAAGACAAATAAAATCTTTCTTTATAAAAAATCATCTCTTGTAAAAAAACATGTGTTTGTGTATTGAACAACAATCAAAATATCATGTTGTCAGTTTGGTGGGACCACAAATGTGTTGTGTCTTTTGAGCTGCTTCAAAGGAACCAGACGCTGCACTCTGATGTTTACTATCAACCAATGAAGCAAAGAAGAGCAACCAGAATTGTCAAATCAAAAGTGCATTGGAAACTCTAGGGATTAGAAAACTATTAGAGCTTGGAAGTGATACCAGATCCCTAATACAGCTTTGATCTGGCCCCATCTGATTCCTTACATTACGAAATTTGCAGAATTCTTTGAAAGGTAACACATCAAACAAGTGACTTTAATTAATTCAATTTTATGTTGACAAGGACCAGAAATTTTATAGTAAGATATTAAACAGATAAGTTGGCGAAAGGTTATTGAGTAAAATGGAAAATATAAAATTGATTAAAAACTATTTTAAAGATTAAACCAAATCTTTATTTTGAGATAATCGTCACTTGTGAAAAGACATCGGTGTTGTACTGTGACATGTATTGAAAACAATCAGAGTTCGGTAACCAAGATGAACCAGCAAAAACCATATCGAAAGCCTTGTATCCAAAAAAGATCATCAATTTGGTGATACCAGAACAAGATTTTGTGTTTTTTGAGTTGCTCCAAAGGAACCAGAAGATGCATTCTGATATTTACCGATCGGAAAGTGCATTGGAAACTCGTGGAAAACTATTGGAACTTGGAAGTGATACCAGAATTGATTAAAAACTATTTTAAAAATTAAACCAAATAATCTTTCTTTTAAGATAATCGTCACTTGTAAAAAAAAAAAGATGCGTAGTGTACAGTGACATATCATGAAAACAATCAAATGTTGGTAAACAAGATGATCCAGCAAAAACCATATTGAAATCCTTGGATTCAAAAAAGATCATGCTGTCAGTTTAGTAGGAGCAGAAGGTGTTGTGTTTTTTGAGCTGCTTCAAAGGGACCAAACGATGTATTCTGGTGTTTACAGCTAACAATCGATGAAGCAAAAATGAGCAATCAGAGTTATCAAATCGAAAAGTGCATTGGAAACTCGTGGCAATCTATTGGACCTTAGGAGTGATACCAAATCCCTATTACAGATTCGATCTGGCACCATCTGATTTCTTACTTTACAAAATTTACAGCATTATTGCAAAATTGACATCAAAATTTGCAGAATTCTTTGAACAGTAACACATTAGGCAAGTGACTTCAATTAATACAGTTTTATGTTGACAAAGACCAGAAGTTTTATGGTAAGATATTATGCAAAAACGTTAGCCAATGGTTATTGAGTAAAATGGAAAATATACAATTGATTAAAAACTATTTTAAAGATAAAACCAAATCTTTATTTTGAGAAAATCGTCACTTGTGAAACTTCGAAGTGATACCAGATCCCTAATACAGCTTTGATCTGGCACCATCTGATTCTTAACATTACAAAATTTGCTACATTTACAAAATTTGTAACACATGAAACAATTAATTCAGTTTTATGTTGACAAGGACCAAAAATTTTATAGTAAGATATCATAAAAAAAAGTTGGCCAAAGATTATTGAGTAAAATAGAACTATTCTTTGTTCAAAAAAAAGTGTCAACTACCAAAATTGCCATCATTGCCAAGCCAATATTTTGTTAACACATAATTTTTGGTTACAAAATTATCCTAAAACCTTACGGTCTTCAAATATGGGGTTCAGCAAAGAATAGCAACATACAAATAATCCAGCGCTTCCAAAACGAAGTATTACGCCAAGCCATTTGTGCTCCAAGATATATGCCCACCTGGCTAATCCGCCACGACACACGTACTCCCACAGTAAAAGAAAAAATCAAAAAAGATTGCCCAAAGCTACAAAAATGAAATCGATGGACACCCAAGGAGCTCGGAGCAAGTCTATACAATGTCACGCATCAAAAAAGGATGAAGAGGACGGAGTTATCAGAATTGACACATTGATTGCATATCATTTATTGTTCTTCATTACATTCCTTTATTATTTATTTTTTATTTAGACTAGGATAGTCATAGATATGAGTTTATATAGCATTAGATTAGATATTTAAGTACTTCTTATATAGTAATTAGCAAATAGTAACAGAATATATCCACACTAGAAAGAATTACCAATGGGTAATCTTTCTAAATAAACCATATATTATAACATACAAATCACTAAATGTCTTCACTAAGACAGATTGTAATTTGAATAAGAAAAAAAAACAAAAAAAACAAATTTTTGGTAATTTGTTTACTTACATGGCATCTCACCGACTCTCACAAAGTCTGGATATCTCATAACCAGTATTCGAGGATCTGAGCACTTTTCAGCTATGGCGAACATGTTAATGTATCGATGACCTTAAATAAATAAAATTGAGATAAAAGCTTCAGTAAGAACGTATTATTTGACGCAGGTTGCTTTTACCAGGATGTAAAACAACGACAAATTTCTTTTCCTAAGTCTTACCAGCCAGTGCCTGGACGCCGTCGCCAGTGGCGTAGCTGTTAGCCCTGTAGCAGGACTCCTGTTTAGTAACAACATTATAAAAAGCGACATGGACACCGCAGGCTGCCGCCACGACATCTCGTCCAATGAACACCACATCGATCAGTTCACCAAATTTAACCCATCTGTAATTGAAAATAATATAATAGTCCAATCATTATAGTAAGTTTACCTCGAAATTCGAGATACCCAGCTGTAAGTCTGTCTATCACCCTTAAGTTGTCTCAAAACTACATATAGTATTGACAACCTACCACATGTAGGTTTTGAGACAATTTCAGGGTGTTAATATACAAGTTTTTACAGACTTACAGCTGGGTATTCCGAATTCCGAGATTCTTACCTAATTTAAGCTTAAATGACTAGACTATAACTGCAAATTATTGAGGAAGAAGTAATTTAATATAGAGTTTATGTTAATGGGTATGAAATATCTTTATAACGCCATATATTCAGCAGAAATGTTTTACACATTAAAGCTAATTAGAAATCTTATGAAATTTAGTAATATTTACTCGTACCATTTCCTGATGTTAAATAATAAATAACTAAGTATAAGTGAAATTTTGCCTTGATGCCAGTTGCTCAGACTTGCCTCGAATGTGTGAGTACTGAATATGGCATAGTCAACAAGAATTCAGATTTGAAAAATAATGAATTCTGATGATAAATATATAGGGTACAACAAGGTGTGACTTGCATGTGATGCTTCAACATGAACCGATCTTCTGGTATACTATTAATAATAATAATAACTAAGTGTAAGTGGCATTTTGCCAACTTGCAACACCTCCCGATATGTGTAAGTAAGCAATAATATAACTTAACAATAAGAATTGAGATTGTGCTATTTATGTAGATAAAAGTTTGAACTGTACATTGAAATTTAATTAACTCCATTTCCAATTGATATCTTTCAGGCTTACTATACTATAATTATAGTGCACGAACTGAAAGAGTAGCCCATTACTTTTGTACCGTAAACCATGTACCGTAGGCCTATAATATTTTTAGGATCATTAAGATGAACTTGAACCACTATACAAAGTTTCATTAAAATAGCCGAAAAGAGTTCTTTAATAATTATTTACAAACGGTCCGACAAATATTTATTTAAAACAGCACGATTCCCAATAATATATATCAAACAGTTCTTAAATTTTCGAAATCAGTTCAATATATTTGGCGAAAACTTTGATAAAATATTTCCGTTTTTCTGCCAATTTCCAGCTTTGCCGATCGTTTCGCAATCAACGAAATCCTTATTAAGTTTCATCGAATGATATTCAATTTTCGACATTTTGGCTTAGACGTCAACATACTTTTCACAATTTTGGCCTCGACCGAATCAGAATAATTTAAAAGTCGGATTTTCGTGCAAAAACAAACGTCTCATTTGGAAAGTTAATTATCAAGTATATTTATCAGTCACAGTTAACTGGTTAATATAGTGGTTTCCAACCTTTTCGTACCGCACTCCATTTTCTTATAAAAAAATTGCTACGCTCCCCAATTTTTTTTGACAATTTAATTTCATGAATACTCAACTGATATTACAATTTAATTATCAGACTACAAAATAATATGCAATATCATGTAAAAATATGCACAATAATTATTTACTCAATTTCTTTTTATATTCTTTCAACGTTTTTGGTTTATTTTGGAAAATAGTATTTTGGGAACAACTGTACGCCCCCCTTGCCCTTGAGCCGCGCTCCACATGTTGAAAACCACAGGCAGGTTAAAGGTTTGGAACTGTGCTAAGTGACCACAGCGCCATTACGAAATTCTCAAATAAAATATTTAAACCATACTGAAGACAAAATTAAAAAAACCAAAATAAATTAAAATATTTATTTTAATTTTAAACTGTCTAAATCAATATATATTGAATGCTAGAAATGTCAATTTAGCAAAATATTGTTTACGTACTCTGTAAAGGCCCTCGCATCTGCTTCGCTCATATTTTTCACTTAGACTTTTACACAGTCTCAAAAATATACAATTACTAATAATTAATATTTTCAAATATATATTTCACTTCAATGTATTGAAAATAAATGCGCATTGATTATCACGATTGCCATGGTGATTTGATATCATGGAAACGGAGCAGAAGACTCATATGCTTTTCTGATTATTGTACTTTTATAAAACCAATTAATTAATTGGGCTAAAATCCGAATAATTTTCGATATTCAAAAAAATATTTTTTGGAAATTCAAATTTTTTCTTTAACTTCCCGTAAGGCAAGTTAAAGTAACCGCAAAAAAATCGAATATACAGAGGTTTCTAAATATTTTGGCATACCTTATAATTAGAAAAAATGGATGTATGTGTGTGTGTATATGTGCGGATACAAATTTTCGTCGACAATTTCGGGAACACCGATCAACCGATTTGAATAATTCAAAAAACATTCGATTTGTGTTGATTGAGGAGACGTGCTAATGTTTTTGGCAAAGGCAGGTCCAGCCGTTCCAAAGATACGGGGCAAAAAGTACCAAAAACGGTAACTCAGTTTTTAAGAGGAGGGAGCGATTTGAATAATTCAAAAAACATTTTACTTGTATTGAAAAGATGAACAACTGATCAAATTTTCATGAAGGCAGGTCTAGCGGTTTCGGAGATCTAGTGAAAAAAGTACAAAAAAAATGCCATCTGGCGGTCAAAAATGATCATTAGACATATGCACATCAAATTATCAGATTTTAACAATAAGTATAAATTTTATTTACATTCCTATGGATTCCGTACCAATGTTCATCCGTTAGACGTCGACGCGGCGCTTACGCGCTTTGACTTTTCGTCTCTATGCAGTTGAAGCAGTACGATTGCTTTGAAAAAAAGTTCAGAATTTCCAAAATATTTCAAAATACACTTTTCTTCGAAAAGTCTTTTTTTCGAAAAAAAGTAAATTTTTGTCAAAAATTTATAGTTTCTCAAAAATCTAATTTTTCATAGTAATTTTTTTTCAAAAATGTTAATCTTTTCAAAAAAAAAAATTTTTGGTACGGGAAGTTCCAGCAATTTGCCTTAAGGCACGATGCCATGCGCCCAAAAAAAAATTTTTTTTTACTTTCCCAAAAACTCTTCACATGCAAAATGTTTTATGAATCATTCGAATCGGATGCTTTGTACATACTTTGAAAAACTGTCTTTTTTTACACTTGTAGCTCATTATCTCCCCATCATTACGGATTGAATGTTTTTTGAATTATTCTAATCGGACGCTCCGTTCTCTCAAGAACCCGATTTCTATTTTCTGCACTCGTTGCTCCGTTTTTCCAAAATGGCTGGACCTGCCTTTGCCAAAAACTAATCAGCCCGTCTCCCTATCAATGAGAATCGAATTTCTTTAATCATTCAAATCGGTTAGGATTTGACTCCGCTTCAGGGAGGAGATATATCCGCTTAACAACTTCACAACTTCGAAACCACCAATTACTCGACACAAATGTGTTTTACAGTGTATTATTCATATATTTAAGGATTTATTAAGTATTTGGAAATCGTTTACGAACTATTTAAAAATGTTTGTTCATTTTATTATAAGAAATTACTATTTTATGCATTTTAATTAAGGTGAGCTATATTTTTTTAAGTCATTACAGGGACGGCAATTTTTAGCTATTTGATTAATTTAATTTTGATTAACAAATACCTCTCTTAAGCTAGCAAGACCAAATTAGCAAAATCGATCCGGACTAATTTGTACCACAAAAAAAATTTGCACTACGTGCCGTTTAAAAAATACACGTGGCGCTGCTAGCTTTAATATTGAGCTAGAAAGGCCACTTTTTGTTTTAGAAGAAAATAAATAAAATTAAACGGAAATTGATTAATTCAAATTTGAACTAAATTGAACTACCAAAATTAAACCAAACTAGTGGGGTGTATGGCATCGTGCCTTAAGGCAAATTGCTGGAACTTCCCGTACCGTAACGAAATGTTCGAGAAATATTGAATGTTTTCAAATAGATTATTATAAATATTGTAACATTGTCTAATAATCATAAGAATTATATAAACTGAATTGCAAAGTTAAACATATTTGATTAAAGTATATTAGAACTTAAGTCAGAATTACGATTAAAATCTGAATTATTTTCGATATACAAAAAAAAATTTTTTTTGAAAAAAAAAATTAAAAAAAAAATTTTGATACATTTTTTTTTTCCAAAATCTATTATTATGTCAAAACAAGCAGAAAGTTCTTTGAATCATTCAAATCGAACGCTTAGTTCTCTCAAAAACTCCCATTTTTTGCACATTTAGCTCTGTATCTCCGATATGGCTAGACCTGCCTTTGCCAAAAACTAATAACCACTTCTCCCAATCATTACTAATTGAAAGTTTTTTAGATCATTCAAATCGGATGCTCCATTCTCTCAAAAACTCGATTTTTATTTTCTGCAATCTTTGCTCTTTATCTCCGTAACTGCTGGACCTGCCTTTGCCAAAAACTAATCAGCACATCTCCCTATCAATAAGAATCGAATGTTTTTTGAACCATTCAAATCGGTTGATCCGTGCGCCCGAAAACGTGGACGAAAAATTATATCCATACATACATACACACACACATCCATTTTTTCTGAGGTATGCCAAAATGTTCAGAAACCTTCAAAACGTCGAGAAATGTAAAAATTTTCAATTTCGATTTTCGGCCCATTACAATAACTTACCCTACGGGGAAGTTGAAAAATCGAAAATGGCTACTAAAATCAGTACCCCATGACGGCCGGACCGCCCTAATATTAGGTGTTTCGTGAAAATAGGTATATAGTGCAGAAAAAAAGCCTGACTTGAAGTCAAAAAAAACTAGTTGGTATTGGTATTTAGCCTTGAGGCAAGTTACAATAACTTCCCGATATGTGTAAATAACCAACTTAATCAATAAAAAAGAAATTAATTTATGAGTGGATTTATTACACATAATTGAAAACGAACGAACACGTTAACTCGGAGTATTTTCAAAAAGCAACTTTTCAAAAATCAACAATTATTATATTTGAACCAGTTTCCGTAGGATTTTAATGGTTTAGTATGTTTATTAAGACCAAGTACTATATTGTTATACCGAATAAATCGTCTAAAAGTACCCATTTTCTCAAACTTTGATAAATTTTTAAAATTAAACTACTTGTCGTAAGGCCGCAATATTACAGTAAGTTCTATAAGACCATGGTATATATCGCTAAAAAAATCCATGAAAATCGTCTTAATTTTTTTTTCAACAGTTAATTACAAGAAAACAGCTCGGTAGATTTTTACCTAAAACTAATCAGTACCATTCCCAACTAATATCTTTCGAACAGTTTTTGATTTTTTAAAATCGGTTCGGTAGGATGAGCTTAAATGTGGACGAAAAGTTTAACACTTTTTTTCAAACTACAAAGAAATGGTTTGGCAGATTGTCGCACAAAACTGACAAACGATAGTCCTCGTCGAGATACATGGAATGGCTTTTAAATTTTTGAAATCGGCCAAGCCGTTTGCGAGAAAACGTCGATTTACGGCAAAAAATCTGTTCACATACACACACACACACATACATACTTTTTCCAAATTTGGTCTCATTCGATTCAGAATGGTTTGAAACGTCGAGAAAACATAAAATTAGCAAATCGGATTTTTTGATGAAAATATAAACTTCTCCTTCGGAAAGTTAACAAATAATCTTTGATAATAATATTATAAAATCACTGTTCAATTTAATTTTTCCCGTACTAAATGCCCTAACATTATTTTAGGGATGATTTGGGGCAAAACGGTGGTAGTAATTTTTATAAAATCAGTGACTTTATAATATTATCAAAGAATATTTTGTTTTTTTTTTTACTTCAATGCAGGCTTTTTTTCTGCACTATATACCTATCTTCACGAAACATCTCATATTAGGGCGGTCCGGCCGTCATGGGGTACTGATTTTAGTAGCCGTTTTCGATTTCTTGGTTTAATTTTTGGCAGTACAAATTAGTACAAATTCGAATTAATCAATTTCCGTTTAATTTTATTTATTTTCTTCCAAAACAAAAAGTTGTCTTGCTAGCTCAATATTAAAGCTAGCAGCGCCACGTGTTTTTTTTAAACGGCACGTACAAGTTGAAAATATTTGTTTGAAGTATATTAAAACTTAAGTCAGAATTAAAATTAAAATCTGAATTATTTTTGATATACATAAAAAAATATTTTGGATTTTTTTTTCCAAACAAGCAGAAAGTTCTTTGAATCAATCAAATCGGACGCTTAGTTCTCTCAAAAACTGCAATTTTTTGCACATTTAGCTCTGTATCTCCGAAACCGCTGGCCTGCCTTTACCAAAACCTAATCACCACTTCTCCCCGTCATTACGAATTGAATGTTTTTTGGATCATTCAAATCCGATGCTCCGATGCTTCGTTCTCTCAAAATCTCGATTTATATTTTCGGCACTCTTTGCTCCGTATCTCCGTAACGGCTGGACCTGCCATTGCCAAAAACTAGACAGCACATCTCCCTATCAGTAGGAATCGAATGTTTTTTGAACCATTCAAATCGGTTGCTCCATGCGCCCGAAAACGTGAACGATAAAATGCGGACATACAAAACACATAGCACACACATCCATTTTTTCTGGGGTATGCCAAAATGTTCAGAAACCTTCAAAACGTGAAGATATGCAAAAATTTTCATTTTCGATCTTCGGCCCATTACTATAACTACCCTACGGGATGTTAAAGATATGTATCAGGATAATTATTTAGCTATAAAGGGTCAACTAGGCAATCAGGCGACCAGACAATTTATGAATAAATAAATGTCAATAAAACAATTATAAAATCATAATTCTGGAAAAGTAATGATATAGTATACAAAATTGCATTAATTTTGGACAATTTATACCTAGAAAGTAAAGAAATTGGAAGTATTAATGCATCTAATACAGCTCAACAATCCATCGCATTTTTGTTTAGACTTTTATTCATATGCATACACAGCAACGCGCGATCTGGCACTTCTAGTATTTTATATAAAAACTTAAATTAACAATATTTTTTTACAATTTTATAATGCCGCCTTTAGGTAACTCCGAAAATGTTACCATATGTGATGATATAAATGCGCTGATTAAAATTTTCAAACAAAAGCTTGTGGAGAATAGAAGTTAACAGCAGCAAGTCAAAACACATCACTTTCACTCTTTGCAAAGGGACTTGTCCTGCAGTAAGACTTAATGACGAAATTATAGATCAAACAGATACAGTCAAATATCTAGGTCTACACCTGGATAAGAGACTAACCTGGAAAGAACACATTAAGAAAATGAGAAAACAGTTTGAAGAAACCAGAAGAAGATATCATTGGCTCCTTGGACGAAAATCAAAACTTGACACTCGTAATAAAATTTACCTCTATAAAGCCATCATTAAACCAATTTGGACATACGGCATACAGCTATGGGGATCAACTTCCAACTCAAACGCTTTAATAATTCAAAGATTTCAAAACAAGTTATTAAAAGAAATTCTGAAAGCACCAAAGTATGTTCCACGTTGGTTAATACACAAAGACACAGGCACTAGCACAGTTAAGGATGAAATAATCGCTTACTCACACAAATATAGAAATCGCCCTCTGATCACCCGAACTTGCTCGCGAGAAAACTTCAAATCAACTCTACCAGGGCCCGATTAAAAAGAAAATTTCTTCTGCATTAATCAACAATACACAAGACCTTCGACAAATCACTGGCAATGGTCAGATGATTCGTATTTTGCCAACGCCTTCAGTTTCATGTCAAATATTTTACTTGTTGTCCGTTTCAGGACAGTTGTAAAAATTATTAAAATAATAAAAAAAAGCGAACCACGCGCATGTGAAACGTCATGTACGTTCGCTAGGTGAGGAAGCATCTTTACATTAAACTGACAGCAGTTGTTTTCAATGTCGTCCATTCTGCTCTTTTGTTGATGTGAGAATTAAATAGAAATGTCAAAGTGTTTTATGGAGTTATAGTAAATTTAAACAAAACTATTAATAAATATATATCAAAACATATTTATTATACATTAAAAATATGTAAATGGTCCCAACAAATTCCTAAAATGTCTGAAGAAACAATTTCAAACACAACAATTAAAATTGAAACCATCGAATATCCTCCAGTAAAACAAGAAATTGATAATAATAAAAGAATACCAGAAATATGTCTAGAAGATGCAGAAATAAATGTGCAGCAATTTTTAAAGTGTGAGGTGACAATAGACAAAGAAATAAAGCTAGAACCTATCGATAAACAAAATGTAGACACTAGCATAAATGAAGAAATTTTAGATCAAACCATCAGTAATTCGAAACAGCAACATAAAACAAAAAACGACTTAACACTACATGAAACTGTTCATACCGAAGAACCTTATAAATGTGCAACATGCGATAAAACTTTCAAAACAAGAGAATCATTAAACCGGCATGAATTGATTCACACCGGACAACGACCTTATAAATGTGAGATATGTTATAATACATTCGTTCGAAAAGAAACATTAAAGATGCACATGCTAATTCATACTGCAGAACAGCCTTATGAATGCAAAATTTGCAAAAAAACATTCAAAACAAAATATAATGTAAAACGGCATGAAGGAACTCATACTGGAGAGCGGCCTCATAAATGTGCAATTTGCAACAAAGAATTCGCTGCAAAACACTCTTTAAACCATCACATAATAATACATACAGGAGAACACCCTTACAATTGCGATACATGCAATGAGGGTTTCTTTACAAAAGGAGCTTTATATCAACATTATTTTTCACATACCGGAGTCTTATTAGAACGTCCTTACAAATGTGAGATATGCAATAAAGGATTTGTGGAATCAAGATATTTAAAACAACATTCATCATCAGTGCACAACAATGGAGAACGACTTTTCAAATGTGAAATATGCAACCAAACATTCAAAACAGCACGATCATTAAACCGACATGACATTAACAATAGTGAAGATCGTCCATATAATTGTGAAATATGCAATCAAACATTTGATAGTAAATGTTCATTAAAAGTACATATAAAAATTCATAAGCCAACTGCCCCAAGAAAGGATATGTGCCACGATCTACAAAGCATTTGTAATAGGGGTGATATGTATATAAAAATGTGATTTTGATGTTCATAAATTAAGTGCTTTACAAAAGCAGTTTCAATAAATAAATGTAATATTAGAATTGAATTCCTGAATTATTTCATAGTGCTACTAGGCAATAATTTAACTAGTTGGTATTGGTATTTAGCCTTGAGGCAAGTTACATGAACTTCCCGAAATGTGTAAATAATCGACTTAATCAATAATAAACAAATTAATTTATGAATGATTAGAAGTATTCCGAGAGTATTTATTACACATAATTGTAATACATAATTGAATTAACTCGGAGTATTTTCTAAACGCAAATTTTTACAAATCAATAATTTTTATAATTGAACCAGTTTTCGTAAGACGTGAATGGTTTAGTATGTTCATTGAGACCAAGAAATCTATCGTTATACCAAGTAAATCATCTAATTTTAATTTTAACAAACGTCCAGAAAACTACTCATTTTCTCAAACTTTGATAAATTTTTAAAATTAAACTACTTGTCGTAAGGCCGTAATAATTCAGTAAGTTCTATAAGACCATGATATATATCGCCAAAAAAAGTTTCATAAAAAACGGCTCATTTTTTTTGTTTTCAACAGTTAATTACAAGAAAACGGCTCGATAGATTTTTACCTAAAACTAATCAGTACCATTCCCAACTAATATCTTTCGAACAGTTTTCGATTTTTCAAAATCGATTCGGTAGAATGAGCTTAAATGTGGACGAAAAGTTTAACACTTTTTTCAAATTGCAAAGAAACGGCTTGGCAGATCGTCGCACAAAACTGACAAACGATAGTCCTCACCGAAATACATCAAACGGCTTTTAAATTTCTAAAATCGGTTCAGGCGTTTTTGAGAAAACGTCGATCAAAAGTCTAATTTTGACAAATGCCAAAAAACGATACCAATTTTTGCAAATTTTGACGAATTTTTAAAGCTGAACCAGTTGTCGTAGAGCCGTAATATTTTAGTATGATCTAGAAGACTATGGTATCTAACCGTCAAAAAAATAATCATAAAAATCGTCGAATTTTTTTTTTTTAAACTTTATTACAAGAAAACGGCCCGGCCGATCTCTACCAAAAACTAATCAGCACGATTCCCAACCAATATCTTTCGAACGGTTTTTGAATTTTCAGAATCGATTCAGAATTGCAGGCTAAAACGTGGACAAAATTTTTTTCACTTTTCTGCTATTTATAAAGAAACGGTTCGGACTATCGTCTCACGAAACTCAGAAACGCTACTTCTTATCGAGTTACACCGAATGGCTTTTAAATTTTTGAAATCGGTCGAACCGTTTTTGAGAAAACGTCGATTTACGGCAAAAAATCTGTTCGCATACCCGCACACACACACACACACACATACTTTTTCCAAATTTGGTCTCATTCGATTCAAAATGGTTTGAAACGTCGAAAAAACATAAAATTAGCGAATCGGATTTTTTGATGAAAACAAACTTCATATGTTAATAAACATAGAACAATTAATATATCTTATATATAAAATTCTTCTATACAGGTGTAAGTCGAGATACTCCTCCTAAACGATTATTCGGATTTTGATAAATCTTTTTAGAGTTTGTCAAAGAAAATTTTTAAGATTTATTGAATGATAAAACTATAATAATATTGTAGAAATAATTGGCAAAAATTATAAAAAACCACTTATCATTGTTTGACATTGAAAACATTTGAACAGCCACTAGCCACTTGCTAGAAATGCCAAATTGCTTGAGATTTGAATTTATCTGAAATTATATGAGTCTAGATAATATTAGAATGTAATATGCGAGAAAAATGTAATCTCTACATTATTATTGTCGAAAAGCAGCTGAGATGTGCCAGAAATTAAAATAATATGAGATACAGTCAACAGTATATGTTTGGCAGATGAAATTATATAATTCAGTTTAAAAAATAACGCAATAAAATATCTGATAATTTTATGTGCATATGTCTAATGATCATTTTTGACCGCCAAATGGCATTTTTTTACTTTTTTCACTAGATCTCCGAAAACGCTAGACTTGCATGAAAATTTGATCAGCTGTTCATCTTGTCAATACAAGTAATATGTTTTTTGAATTATTAAAATCGGACGCTCCGTTCTCTTAAAAACTGAGTTACCATTTTTGGCACTTTTTGCCCCGTATCTACGGAACGGCTAGACCTGCCTTCGCCAAAAACTAATCAGCACGTCTCCTTATCAATACGAATCGAATGTTTTTTGAATTATTTAAATCGGTTGATCGGTGTCCTCGAAATCGTCGACGAAAATTTGTATCCGCACACACACACATACACGCACATACAGACATACATCAATTTTTTCTAAGGTATGCCAAAATGTTCAGAAGGTTTTGAAACGTAAAGATATATAAAAATTTTCATTTTCGATTTTTTGCGATTACTATAACTTGCCCTACGGGAAGTTAATTATATATAATTAGTAAGAAGCATGTAAAATTATAATATATGTCGATAAAACAATAAAGTTGTTCATAGGCATCCATCCAAATACTAAAAAGAAGAGAAGAAATAATAAATTATGTTTCTTAGAATAAATTAATTTATACTTGTTTATCTATGGAATAAATTTATTAGACCCATATGTTTCGAGTTCCAAATTTGGCTCTTTCTCAAGGTAGACAAAACACACAAACAGTTAATACAAAAATAAAACCATGGTAAAAAAATTATTATTTCACAAATAAACAATCATGTTTCAAAAACAAATAAACGAATATAATAAAATCGACAATTACATTTCGAATAATGGAATAAGAAAAATTCATTACCATGCTTTTGTTTTACCTGTTTGTGTGTTCTGTTACAAAGCATATGGACCTAATATATTTATTCTAAAAAACATATCTTATTTTCCTTATATTTTTAGTTTCTTTTTTATATCTGGATGGATGCCTGTTAACAAGTTTATTGTTTTATTAACATATTTATCACCATCTGAAAAAATTATTATACATTATTATTAAACACACACACACACATGTATATATATATATATATATATATACATATATATATATATATATATATATATACATATATATATATATATATATATATATACAGGGTGCTTCAAAAAAATGTATACACACTTTGAACTTCCATAGAAAATTTATTTACCATTCTACAAAGTTAAATTTCAGGAAAATAGAAAGCCGAAAGTCCAATGTAAATGAAACATAAATAACAAATGTTAATACTGTTCAAATTGGTGACCTGCAGCATCAATACAATTCTGAGTACGAGTCACCACTGATTCTGTACATCACAAGGTTGCAATTTTGTGAATGAATTCAGGAGATGGTGATACGTGAACCGGGATTTATGGGTAGAATCATTTAGCCCCGCACTATCACAGGGCGTACGTACGAGCTTACCTGGATCAAAATTTGTCTTTACACCACTGGAATTCTTCTTGTGGGGCACAGTAAAAGATGAGATGTACAAACCACGTAACCTAGACATTCTTTGGAATGAGATTCAAGTAGCATGTAGAGAAATATCATTGGAAGTTTTGATACAATGTACAGAACCAGTGGTGACTCGTACTCAGAATTGTATTTGTACAGTATTAACATTTGTTATTAACTTCCGTAGGGTAAGTTTTTGTAATGGGCCGAAAATCGGAATTGAAAATTTTTACATTTCTCGACGTTTTGAAGGTTTCTGAACGTTTTGGCATACTTCAGAAAAAATGGATGTGTGTGTGTGTGTTGTGTGTGTGTGTGTGTGTGTGTGTGTGTGTGTGTATGTATGGGATACAAATTTTCGTCCACGTTTTCGGGCGTACGGATCAACCGATTTGAATGGTTTAAAAAACATTCGATTCCTATTGATAGGGAAAAGAGCTGATTAGTTTTTGGCGAAGGCAGGTCCAGCCGTTTCGGAGATACGGAGCAAAGAGTGCAGAAAATAGAAATCGAGTTTTTGAGTGAACGAAGCATCCGATTTGAATGATCTAAAAAACATTCAATTAGTAATGATTGGGAGAAGGGGTTATTAGTTTTTCGCAAAGGCAGGCCCAGCCATTTCGGAGATACAGAGCTAAATGTACAAAAAATGGCAGTTTTTGAGAGAACTAAGCGTCCGATTCAATTGATTCAAAGAACTTTCTGCTTGTCTTAACAAATAATTGATTTTGGAAAAAAAAATTTGTTCCATTTTTTTTTTTTTTTTTTTTTTTTTTTTTTTTTTTTAGTTTTTTTATATCGAAAATATTTCAGATTCCATTTTTAATTCTGACTATAGTTCTAATATACTTTACAATAATTTCAACTCTGCAATACAGTTTATATAATTCTTATAAATATGACAATGTTACAATATTTAGAATAATCTATTTGAAAACATTCAGTATTCCACGAACATTTCGTTACGGTACGGGAAGTTCCAGCAATTTGCCTTAAGGCACGATGCCATAATTGCCTCAAGATAGAATTCCACTTACAGCTAGTTTATGTTTCATTTACATTGGACTCTCAGCTTTCCATTTTCCTGAAATTTAACTTTGTTGTGTGTATACATTTTTTTGAAAAAGTGTGTATACATTTTTTTGAAGCACCCTGTATATATATATATATATATATATATATATAATATAGATAATTATATTATATTAATTGTTATTGTTATAGTTTATGTAAATATAAAAAGCTATCATATTTCATTGATTGGATAGTTGTCTAGTTTTTATTTGAATTTAAAAAATTACTGTATTTCTGGATCAATTTAAAAAATTGAAATTGCAATTGAATTACAGATAGTTTGTTTTAAATTATTTACAATTTTTCAAAATGATCCCTGAAGGTTTATGGCCATTCGGAGTAAATTTTAATTAGATTATTGGTACAGGTTCTATGTCAAATATTTTGTCACAACTTTCAATTTTATCTTCAAAATGAAATATTGAAATAGCTAGGAGTTGATATTCAGATCAATTATATTATGAAACATTTGGATCAAGTATATTATGAAAGCAATCTACATCAATCTTCACTTATTCGCTAAGCAGAAACAACATTACATTTTGGTTTTTCTGTTTCATTCTCAATTTTTGTGTATTAATAGATTCACTCACCTTGACAATGATTCAGACGATAGAAAAAGTTGAATGAAACATCCATATTTGAAAAAATACAAAACTTATGAACTGAATTTTATCTTCAAAATGATATATTGAAATAGCTAAGTTGATATTCAGATCAAATATATTATGAAACATTTAGATCAAGTATGTTATGAAAGCAATCTACATCAATCTTTACTTATTCGCAAAGCAGGAACAACATTACATTTTGGTTTTTCTGTTTCATTCTCAATTTTTGTGTATTAATAGATTCACTCACCTTGACAATGATTCAGACGATAGAAAAAGTTGAATGAAACATCCATATTTGGAAAAATACAAAACTTATGAACTGAATTTTAAGTTCAAAATGAAATATTGAAATAGCTAAGAAGTTGATATTCAGATCAAATATATTATGAAACATTTAGATCAAGTATATTGTGAAAGCAATCTACATCAATCTTTACTTATTCGCTAAGCAGGAACAACATTACATTTTGGTTTTTCTGTTTCATTCTCAATTTTTGTGTAATAATAGATTCACTCACCTTGACAATGATTCAGACGATAGAAAAAGTTGAATGAAGCATCTGTATTTGAAAAAATACAAAACTTATGAACTGAATTTTATCTTCAAAATGAAATATTGAAATAGCTAGGAGTTGATATTCAGATCAAATATATTATTAAACATTTAGATCAAGTATATTATGAAAGCAATCTACATCAATCTTTACTTTGTCGCTAAGCAGAAACAACATTACATTTTGGTTTTTCTGTTTCATTCTCAATTTTTGTGTATTAATAGATTCACTCACCTTGACAATGATTCTGACGATAGAAAAAGTTGAATAAAGCATCTGTATTCGAAAAAATACAAAACTTATGAACTGAATTTTATCTTCAAAATGAAATATTGAAATAGCTAAGAAGTTGATATTCAGATCAAATATATTATGAAACATTTAGATCAAGTATGTTATGAAAGCAATCTACATCAATCTTTACTTATTCGATAAGCACAAACGACATTAATTTTTGGGTTTTCTCTTACGTTCTCAATTTTTGTGTATTAATAGATTCACTCACCTTGGCGATGATTCTGACTATAGAAAAAGTTGAATGAAACATCCATATTTGAAAAAATACAAAACTTATTCTGAATGCCATCACAAACTGCAACAGAATGAATGACATTTTGTAGTTTTGTTGCCAATATTTTAGTTTTGCAACTTATAAATTTTGTGACAGTTGTTCTTAAGCAACTAGGTATCTTTTAACGTTAATCGAAACTCTAAAACTTTAAATAATATTAAAATCTTCAAAATTAAAATCATTTTTAGGCAAAAAAACTTTATAATTTAAATTTCTGTAACTACTGTTCTACTGTCATGGCGAGTTTATGTGACAACGGCACTATTGTGAAGTCGCAGCAATTGAAAGCATAGATAAATAAACATAAATAGACCGCTATCTCAGGCCATTTGACGTTACCACCATTTTAATTTATGCAGCGATCTGAAGAAGGCAGCACTTGTACAGTATATAAATAAATTAACCGCTGGTATTATTCCTAGATATGGTTCGTATACGTAATTCAAAATAAGAAAACCTAAATAATTTCTTATATTGGAAATGAGAACAAAACATACAAAGCACAAAATATATATTCAAATATATTACTAACATTTTTACATAACAATTAAAACTAGTTGGTATTGGTATTTTGCCTTGAGGCAAGTTATATGAACTTCCTGAAATGTATGAATAATCGATTTAATTATTAAAAAATAAATTAACTTATGAGTGATTAAAAGTATTCCGAGTGGATTTATTACACATAATGATCATGTTAACTCGGAGTATTTTGTAAAAGCAAATTTTCAAAAATCAACAATTTTTATAATTGAACCAGTTTCCGTAGTATTTTAATGATTTAGTATGTTCATTCAGACCAAGTACTCTATTGTTATACCAAGTAAATCGTCTAATTTTAGTTTTAACAAACGTCAAAAAATTACTCATTTTCTCAAACTTTGATGAATTTTTGAAATTAAACTACTTGTCGTAAGGCCGTAATATTTCAGTAAGTTCTATAAGACTATGATATATATCGCCAAAAAAAGTTCCATAAAAATCGGCTTAAATTTGTTTTTCAACAGTCAATTACAAGAAAACGGTTCGGTAGATTTTCCCCTAAAACTAATCAGTATCATTCCCAACTAATAAATATCTTTCGAACAGTTATGGATTTTTTAAAATCGATTCGGTAGTATGAGCTGAAATGTGGACGAAAGGTTTACCACTTTTTTCCAAATTACAAAGAAAAAGCTTGGCAGATCGTCGCACAAAACTGACGAACGATAGTCCTCATTGAGATACATCAAATGGCTTTTAAATTTCTGAAATCGGTTTAGGTGTTTTTGAGAAAACGTTGATCAAAAGTCTAATTTTGACAAATGCCAAAAAAACTATACTAATTTTTGCAAACTTTGACGAATTTTTAAAATTAAACGACTTGTCGTAGGGCCGTAATATTTTAGTATGATCTATAAGATTATGGTATCTACCGTCAAAAAAATATTAATAAAAATCGTCGAAAAAAATTTTTTTAACACGTTATTACAAAAAAACGGCCCGGCCGACCAAAAACTAATCAGCACGATTCCTAACCAATATCTTTCAAACGGTTTTTGAATTTTCAAAATCGGTTCAGAATTGCGGGCTAAAACTGACAAACAATAATTCTCATCGAGATACATCGAATGGCTTTTAAATTTTTGAAATCGGTCCACCCGTTTTTTGAGAAAACGTCGATTTACGGCAAAAAATCTGTTCACACACACACAATCTTTTTCAAAATTTGGTCTCATTCGATTCAGAATGGTCGAGAAAACAAATTTAGCAAATCGGATTTTCTGATGAAAACATAAACTTCTCCTACGGGAAGTTAATTAGTAATAAAATGTTTGTTTATATATGATAAAAAGTTTATAAATGTGATAATTATTATACTCTTAATTATAAGAATTATCATTTTAAAATTAGAAGTAACTAAAAGCACACAAGTGATTACAATGGACAGTTACATATTTACAAGAAATAATTAATATTAATTACTTAATGACTAACAATATATTAAAACTACACAGAAAATATTTGTATAATGTAAAAAGATTTTACAAAAACAATAAATTTACACGAACTGACTAATATTGAGTTCTTAATGACTAATAATAGTATTTTGACCAGTGGGGCGGATGGCATCGTGCCTTAAGGCAAATTGCTGGAACTTCCCGTACCAAAAATTACTTTTTTTTTTAAAAAAATTAACATTTCTGAAAAAAAAATACTCTGAAAAAAATAGATTTTTGAGAAACTGTAAATTTTTGAAAAAAAAAGACTTCTTGAAGAAAAATTTATTTTGAAATATTTTGGAAATTCTGAACTTTTTCTCAAAGCAATCGCACTGCTTTAACTGGATAGAGACGAAGCGCGTAAGCGCCGCGCCGCCGTGCAACGAATAAGCATTGGTACGGAACCCATAGGAAAGTAAACAAAATTTATACTTATTGTTAAAATCTCTATAAATTATCTGATAATTTGATGTGCATTTATTTTTACTTTACTAGATTTCCGAAACCGCTAGTCCTGCCTTTATGAAAATTTGATCATCTTGTTAATACAAGTAAAATGTTTTTTGAATTTCAATTTGGACGCTCCGTTCTCTTAAAAACTGAGTTACCGTTTTTGGCACTTTTGCCCCATATCTTTGGAACGGCTAGACTTGCCTTCGCCAAAAACTAACCAGCACGTCTCCTTACCAACTAACCAATACGAATCGAATGTTTTTTGAATTATTGAAATCGCTTCATCCGTGTTCCCGAAATCGTCGACAAAAATTTGTATCCGCACACACACACATGCACGCACACACACACACACATACACCATTTTTTCTAAGGTATGCCAAAATGTTCAGAAGACTTTGAAACGTAAAGATATATAAAAATTGTCATTTTTCTTTTTTTTGCGATTACTATAACTTGCCCTATAGGAATTTAAAAAGATAAAAACTTAGATGAAAAAAGTATAGAGTTTAAGTATGTAGTTGCTCTCTTAATTGCAACACTATAAAATTTATTATTTCCGGAATGTTAGAAATCTTTTCTGAGCATTTTATACTCTGTTGCAATTTATCCCTTAAATTATCGCATTGTTTCTCTATCCTTCTCAACTTCTTTAACATATACAGTCAACCCTCGCGATAATTTTTGAATGATAAACCTAAAGTTAAAGTATCCTAAAATTAAAGTATCTAAAGATAGAAGAAGATAAAAAAAGCTCCTACTTCGAGTTGTACAGTAAACCCTCGCTTTACGCGGCAAGTGCGTACCGTGCAGTGAGGTGACCGTGCTATAAAAAACTCGTATTTAACATACAATTCATGTTAATTCGTAGTGCGTTCTATGGAACCTTATATAGTGCAGTATGGGAACCGCGCTATGAGAGACTCAGAGTTAGTGCAAATCGCACAATTTTCATTGTGCTGTATGGAGACCAAGAAATATAACTTGAAGTAGGAGTAATACGGACGAAATGACATGTATGACATTGACACCTTATTCGAAAATTGGCGCGACGCAGTAGTCAGCTCAAACGTGTTCCTAGGCAGCTATTATATAATCAGGCATGCCTAAAATATAAAAATCAATAACAAAACTTACATTAATACCCTTTTGATATCAAGTTCCTATAATCACTCATAGGTTGCGCAAGGAACTTAGGGGCTGTTGAACAAAAACGGTGTAATAGGAAGTCCATGTAGTCGGAGGGATGTCGGATTTTTAGCTCCGTGTAGTATGGGAACCGTGTACCCAGAGTGCCGTGTAAAGCGAGGGTCTACTGTATACGATTTGAATGATCTAAAAAACAATCAATTTGTAATGATTCGGAGAAGAGTTGATTAGTTTTTGGCAAAGGCAGGTCCAGCCATTTCAAAAATACAGAGGTAAATGTGCAAAAACTGGCAGTTTTTGAAAGAACTAAGCGTCCGATTTGAATGATTCAAAGAACTTTCTGCTTTTTCAACGCAATAATCGCTTTTGAAAAAAAATTTGTTTCAATTTTTTTTCCAAAACTTTTTCTTTTTTTCAAAAAATTTTTTTTTGTATATTGAAAATAATTCATATTTTAATTTTAATTCAGCCTAAGTTCTAACATACTTTAAACAAATAATTTCAACTTTGTAATTCAGTTTATATAATTTTTCTAAATATTTAGACAATATACAGTATTTATTTATAATAATCTATTTGAAAACATTTAATATTTCGTTACGGTACGGGAAGTTCCAACATTTTGCCTTAAGGTACAATGCCAATTATTTATTGCAATTTATTGATAACTGATTATCTTTTGTTTTTGAAGCTGTAACGATTTAATTCTAATACTTGCTAATCAACGTTTTAAAAGTTTATGCTTATTTTTATTTAACGTTTATGCACGCATTATGAACGTTTATGTTTATTTATCATGGTTTTATGCTTATTTATCTATGGTTATCAAATTAAATGCTTATTACTCGCAAAAACTGCCATATTTTGCATATTTAGCTCCGATTTCCGAAATGGCTACCTGCCTTTGCCAAAATCTAATCACCACTTCTCCCCGTCATTACGAATTGAATGTTTTTTAGATCATTCAAATCGGATACTCCGTTCTCTCAAAAACTCGTATTTTCTGCACTCTTTGCTCCGTATTTCCGTAACGGCTGGACCTGCCTTTGCCAAAAACTAATCAGTACATCTCCCTATCAATGGAAATCGAATGTTTTATTAACCATTCAAATCGGTTGATCCGTGCGCCCGAAATCGTTGGCGATCACGCAGACACACACAGACAATGCCTAACGGCGGCTTCCGTGGGAACCAGAGGCAAGGGCAAAGCGGAGGTCCAACATACCTATACAAAACACCAGTCTGGGATGCGTAAATGCATTCCCTTCCCTATACAAAAAAAAACACGCACACAAAAATACATTTTTTCTAATTGTAAGGTATGCTCAAATGCCCAGAAACCATCAAAACGTTTCCTTACCGATTTTTGGATGATTACAATAATTAACCCTAGGAAAAATTAAAAAGTAACCTTTTTGAAAAGATTCTACTAACAATTATGGCTCAATTACATGCCTTATTAAGCCTGGAATGAATATAGAACATTATTAATAAAATATTCACATGAGTCATTGATAACAATGTTTATTTATTTAATATTATATATATATATATATATATATATATATATAATTAATTCATATATATAATTATCATAAATTTCTATAAACAGCCATATGTAACCTTCTAACTAATTTTGTAAATACTAATTACTCATTGGTATGAGCAACCATGTGCCTTTTCAGGCTATGTGATTGTTTGAATGCCTTATCACAAATTTTGCAAATATGTGGCCGTTCACCAGTGTGAATGAGCATATGTCTATTCAAGGTACCCAATCGTGTGAATGACTTATCACAGATTTGGCAAATATGGTGGCGTTCACCAGTGTGTATTAGCATATGTTGATTCAAGTAACTCAAATGTGTGAATTTCTTATCACATATTTTGCAAATATGGAGACGTACCCCAGTGTGAATTAGCATATGTTTATTCAAGTTACCCGATTGTGTGAATGCCTTTTTACATATTTTGCAAATATAGGGATGTTCACCAGTGTGGATGGACATATGTCTATTCAAGATATCCAATCGTGTGAATGTCTTATCACAAATTTGGCAAATATAGGGCCGTTCACCAGTGTGTATTAGCATATGTTGATTCAAGTTACCCGATTGTGTGAATGCTTTTTTACATATTTTGCAAATATGTGGCCGTTCACCAGTGTGAATAAGTGTATGTTTATTCAAATCATTCAAATCTTTAAATGCCTTTTTACATATTTTGCAAATATGGGGACGGTCACCAGTGTGAATTAGCATATGTCTATTCATGCTACGCGAGTGTCTGAATGTCTTATCACAAATTTGGCAAACATGGGGACGTTCACCAGTGTGGATGAGCATATGTTTATTCAAGGTACCCATTTGTGCGTATGTCTTTTCACATATTTTGCAAATATAGGGCCGTTCACCAGTGTGTATTAGCATATGTTGATTCAAGTTACCCGATTGTGTGAATGCTTTTTTACATATTTTGCAAATATGTGGCCGTTCACCAGTGTGAATAAGTGTATGTTTATTCAAATCATTCAAATCTTTGAATGCCTTTTTACATATTTTGCAAATATGGGGACGGTCACCAGTGTGAATGAGCATATGTCTATTCATGCTACACGAGTGTCTGAATGTCTTTTCACATATTTTGCAAATATAGGGGCGTCCATCTGTGTGTATGGACATATGTTTATTCAAGTTACTTGATTCTGTAAATGTCTTACCAGTGTGAATTAGCATATGTTTATTCAAAGTACCCAATCGTGAGAATGCCTTATCACATATTTGGCAAATACAGGGACGTTCACCTGGTTCCTTTGCTGTATGAGCACAAATATTTCGTTTTCGATTACCAGATTCATTCAAATGTGAAACTTGTTCTTTGGCATGAGCACAAATGTGTTGATCTAAATGAGTAAATGTTTTACTGCACTTTATACATGTGAAATTTTTTTCACTTGTATGAAATTTTAAATGCATTTCTAATGCACTTGCATCTGAAAAAGTCTTTGAACAATATGTACACTTATGACAATAATTTACCATATGCTGTTCTAAATAATGCAACTTTCTAAATGTTCTATCACACTTGTCACATTTATAAGAAGCAGTCTGAATTAATTCCTGTTCAACTTCTTCTTTTATTTTCACTACGGAGTTCATAAATCTGTTTAGACATGTTTTGTCATCCTCTGAACACGATTCATACTCTTCCTCAATTTCCCTTTTAATGTCTTCGATTGGATATTCTTGTGGTTCAATTTTGATTATCGAATCATCAGCAGCTTCTGACATTTTGAGATATTTGTGCGCTGAGTAGTTTAAATGAACTATTGTTAAATATGATAATTTATTGATTTATTCATTTATTATGATTAAATGAATAATCATTCTAAACTGTCAACACAAATGGTTCTGAGAATATAATATATTGATATTATGATTTTGTCAATGAATGTAATCTTACATTAATTTAACAGAAGTCTACTTTGGACAATGTATGTCGCCAAGATAATTTCTTCTTCGAAATGCTTTATATTTGACAGACAGTAAATACGAATCAACTATTGTTCAAAGCTGTTTGCCATATTGCAGAGCTGAAATGTAAAGGGTAAAATTAAGCAATAATTATTTTTTGTATTATTTGAAGTTGAATATTTATAGTTCTTCTTAAATAAAATAAATATTAAAAGTTAATCACGTGGAAGAACCTCAAAGTATTTTACACTACCTTTATGTTTATCAATCAATCACAAATACCGCTTTATAATATATATCATTTTATTTGTACTCACATGTATATACAATATATTTATTATGTCACTTAACCCGGCGCCAATGACGCGAAAAAAATTGCAAGAACGATGACGTTGGGTCATTTTGACCCGACGTTTTATTGAGGATTTATAATAAAAAATATATACTTTTACTAAATTGTAATTAATGTTTACTAAATAAAGGTATTTTCTGCATAAAAATAAATAAAATAAAACTAATATATAATAATTAAACTTTTATTGACATACTTAACAAGACATGCAAAATCAACTTTGAACAAACAACATATGTTAATTATAAGTTTTGGTTTAAGTAATGTTAATAATCATTGGTAACAAACATCTTATAATACTAAAAAGAGATCAAATTAAGTTATTTTTAATTATAAATGCCAATCAGTCTTCTATTTCCTCATTTACTGACATCGAACTACTACAATTATTGCAGTAGGTAATAAAATGATCAGGGCATATATAAATTTGACATTCATGACAGGTATGACTTGTCTTCTTATCTTTTTTGGACGGACATATTTGGCATCTCTTGCGAACGCCTAGAATCTTTCGAGGTGGTTCATCTGTGGTTTCACCTGTGAATTGTGCGATTCTTTTGCGCAGTTGACGTGGTAAATTCACTCGAGCTCGTCGCACTTGTAAATGTTCCTGCACCATGGCGAGTCCCAGATTTTTTAGGAAATGTCTTCTTTTCATGCGTGTATCATCATTATTAGCCCGGTATATTATGTTTGCGTTTATTTCCGATATATTTAGCATTGCAAAAAAGATAGTCAATGGCCATCGTTTTGTGTTTCTACTCACGTTGTATGACGCAGAAAGATTGTCCACTACATCCACTCCACTCTTGGTGTGATTGTAAAAGGATATGATGTCTGGTTTCCTTTTGTCACCTGTAGACTCATCAATTTTTTCGTCATGATGTAGACTGGACATCAATAAGACAACTTTATTTTTCTTTGGAATGTAGGAGACTAGAGTTATGTCCTTTTGATGTCCAAAGGTAGATGATCCTGGACATTTTCCACGTGTTGTAATGAATTGAGGTGGAATCTGCCGTTTGTTTTTGCGTAAGGTTCCAACTGCTGTAAGTTTATGTTCCGTTAGGAGGTGAGATACTAATTCATAACTCGTGAACCAATTGTCGAATGTTATGTTACGATGGCTTTTAGAAACGGGCAAGACGACGCGATTTACAACGTCAAAAGGTTTGTTGCTGAGTGAGTATGGGCCACTTGGCTGCTTTCCGCTATATATTTCTAAATTGGTCACATAATATGTCACTATAATCACTAAATAGAAAATAAAAGTATGTCACGAAAATATTACATTTACAATGACGCTGGGTCAAACATACCCGATTGGACTTGACGCACGAGTTGCTCGTTGCGCGGGCGGCGTCGCACTGAGCGAACCATCGGGGCGGGTAGCGGGGAGGCATCGCTTCAGCTACTCAAACGCTTAAACCACATAACCCGGGTAAACAAAATATATGTTCGTTAAAAAACGTCTCGGGTCATTATGACCCAGCGTCATTGGCACCGGGTTAATTAATAATTAAATGAACGGAATATAAAATGTTCGTTCAATACATTAATTTGTTTGACAGCTGAATGCGCTGAATGAACTTGAACTTCGTTACTTTGGCTCGCTCCGAAGTTACTATAGCCAACTTACTACAGTCATGGGAAGTTACATAGATGGGGCCATAGATAAGTAAACATAAATAGATCGCTATTTGAGGCCATTTGACATTACCTCTGACTAGGAGGCAGCACTTGTTCAGTATATAAATCAACCGCTGGTATTATTCCTAGATATGGTTCGCATACGTAATTCAAAATAAGAAAACCTAAATAATTTCTTATATTGGAAATGAGAAAAAAATATATACGAAGTACAAAATATTTTTTCCGATATATCACAAACATTTTTACATAACAATTAAAATTTTTATAAATGTAATAATCAATATATGCACAATAATAAGTATTATAATTTTACAATTATAAGTAACTAAAAAAAGTATTCACAATGGTATGATAAATTTACAAGGAACGATCAATATGAATTACTTAATGATCAATAATATTTAACAACTAAACAGGGATTGCGTAGAAGCATTTACAATAAAATGTTAAACTTAAAAGGAACGATCAATATAAATTACTGAATGATCAGAATATATAACAACTACACAGAAATATTATAAAAATTTTCGTAAGTATAATTAATTTACACGAACTGACTAATATTAATTTCTTAATGACTAATAGCAATATATCAAAAAGAGAAAAGTATAGAGTCTAAGTATGTAGTATATAGAGTATATACTATAGATAATGGAATAGTATAATTAGAAGAAATGACAAATAATGAACAAATTCAAAAAGTTAAATCCTACAGACATAAAATATATATATTGATATCAAAATTTATAGAAAACTAAATTCCAAGAATTAAAATTCATTTATGAGTAATTCTTCTTTAACAATAACTTTGCATTTGATAGTTATTTTGCTTTCCAATCAATCATTAATAAAGTTGCATTCTACAAAATCTTGAATTTCTTATGATTCGATTGTGTTAATAGAACAGTGCAGCAGTCCTTTCGGCTGGAATGTTAAGAATATTTCTGAGCATTTTATACTCTGTTGCAATTCATATCTTAAATTATTGCATTGTTTGTCTATCCTTCTTAACTCCTCAACATATAATGGATGGTCATACATTTTACATGCCATTTTAGTCACTACATTCTGCTGCAATTTGTGAACATCTAATAAACAACATGTTGTAATATAATATCAAGTCGTAATAGCAAATGGTATTAAAATATTCAGAATTATATTTACCCTTTCCACTGGAGTTGCAGAGTGTTCTCCTGGGCGTATATCAATTGTCTTTCTCTTCTTATATCACTGTGAACTATAGACATGAGAACTATTCTGTGAAATATAATTGGACATTTCTAATTTGTTCACTTCACAAAGCCGGAAAGAAGTGCATTTTTATATTATTCTGAAGTTACCACAAGTTGGTGCGTTCCATTTTTCCATATAAATTTCACATAAATGCTTACTTAATACAATTAATTACAGAAACAACAACATCGAACCACAAACTTTGATACAAAATGGGATGGCGAGAAAATCTAAGCGAGTAATTTTGACGTTTTTGAAACTA